CTTCAGACACGGAAGATCTCTGTTTGCTCCTGGGTTCCAAACGTGTTGGAGTAGCAGCAGTGGCCAACGGCCACTCCAGAGCTTCTCCAGTTGATTGCTGATCCCTGGAAAACCCCTTGAGAAGTTTTCTACAATATTACCTTGTATCCAGATTCAGCTAAACTTTGGTCTTGTCACAATGCCCCCTTTTGCTCCAATTTGAAAAAAAACGTAGTTTCCTGTTTTTGGTTTTCTCCTCCCCCCCAACACCTCGCATGTACACACAGAGTAGCCAGCAGTGAGAAACCGTGGCTACAACACAACCCGGTCCGAAATGGATCCAGCAGCCCGGTGCGGAAGCCGCTAGAACCCCACAGAGAATCTGCCAGTCTTTCTCAAGCCCCGCCCCTTGACACAGGCTTCCCAACAGGCTCCTCCCCATCACGGTGGGTTATTCTGGGATGCCTTGATTTTACTGCTTCCAAACTCACAAAGCTAGCTGCCACTTCCCTCCCCGCTTTCTGCTACTGAAGCTGGGCGATGAAATCCACAGGGAACTGGGAAGGGCTATACCAGCCTGCCTCTAATCTTCTCCCTTTTTATTTCCCCGTTTGTCCGTGTGTGCGTGCGTGCATGCACACATGTGCGTTGGAGTGTGCATGCGGCCAAACTGGCCACAGGGGCCCTCAACCGCAGGGGAACGTCTCCCGACGGGAACGCAGCGGCGTGGGGCTGCTTCACCACGACCCAAAGTCGCGCTGGTCTTGATGCTCTGAAGCTTTTGGCTCAGCTATTTGGCAAGCTCTGATTTTGGGGAGTCCCCCTTTTCGGACAAGCAGCTTCTTTTTCGGCGGCCTACATGCCCTTCCTCCCGCAAAACCAGCCATCCGAGAGCCTCGGCAGGTAACTCACGCAGGTTCCACAGACGAGCACGCGTGCCTTTTGACAGCACGCGTGCCCACCATACAAAAATGAGCCCTGGCCGTTCTCGTGCGTCCTTGAGGGGTTGGCCTTCCCCGGCACCGCTCCCAACCGCCTCGTTCTGCCCGAGAGCGGCTCCTCCACCGGGCAGATGCGCCCTGCGCCCACGCACGCCCTGGCACAGCAGAGACAAGAGCTTTTGCTCATTTTTTTAATGTACCACAATGAGCAGGAAACATACTTGATGAAATATTTTCAAAGGATTATATTCAATTACCATCTACAATCAACTTAACTATGACAACAAAGTGTTTTGTGACAAAATCTGTTTGGTTTTTTTAGAGTTCTGTGTGGTTCTGCTTTCGTCCATCTCTACGTGTTTTGGTACAATTCGAGATCAGCATTATTACAGTAACAAAAAAGCTAACAAGACAACAGTATAGAAAAACACCAAGAACGTCATTTTTGGTTTCACTTGCTCTAGTTTTTGTACATTGCAAAGGCTGTTTGGAGACCTCGCCTCATTTATGCTTTCTGTTTTATCCAGACTTGTCCCCCTCCCCCCAACCAAAGTAATGAAAAATAGTCAAAAGTTCTGTGTTTCACAGTGGGCAGGATTTTCAGTGCCATCCATCCATCTAGACAACCGACCGACCGACCAAGAGTTCCACTTCCATTTCGTTGTGTCCTGCCATCTGCCCCCCCGCCCCCCCACCCCCGGTCGCTTTGACTAAGGCCCAGGCCCAGGAAGGCCATTTCTGCTGGCCAGCTGGGCACCATCTCGGATGCAGCCACGTCCATCCGCATCGGCAGCACTCTTGAGCAAGACCACTTCTGGCCTCTCCCTTGGTGTGGGTTCTCGCGTCCGATAGAAGCTGCAGTGCCTCTTGAGAGGGGCTCGGAGGGAAGGTCGGTTTAGGGGAAAGACACCTCAGCCTCAAGGGCTGGCCTGGCCCTCTCTGGAGGCTGTGATTTAGCATAGCTGCCTGTTCCTCCGGGGGGGTCTGTGAACCCCCCTACAATGCCCCAGACGGTGAGGTGCAATCAAGACAGACCTTGGCCTGGCTCAGGGCAGGAGCCTGGCCTGTGCTTGCCAGTGCCCGGATGGGGATGCCACCTGCTGCCACCCTGGGGCACCTCCGAGACAGAGGCCTCTCTCCTCCACCCAGGAGAAGAATATGCGGGAACACCATGTGCAGATGGAGGAGAGCCAGGATAAGAGAAAATGTCTAACAGAGCAGAGGGAGGGAAAGAAGAAGGGAGACAAGAGATGTCAAAGCAGGGGGACACCAAACTGGCCGGGGAACACTAGTGTTAAACTAGCAATGTATACCACAGAAAAAACCAAAAATAAAACAAAAAGCCGATGGGATACAGAGTGACAATCAACAGTTACACACAAGCTAAAACAATGGGAACCCAACCTAGACAAGTTCAGATCTAAAAAGCGTTCCTCTTGAGCAAGGGAAAACCGTGCCTGGGTATTCAGGGTGTTAAAGGAGGCAGTCATGTGCCAGCTGGGGCTGTGCGGGGCACCCCAAGCTGCAACTGGCGCAGAGGGCAACTAAGGACAGGGTTTCCCGCTAGAAGTGTGGGCAACCAGGCAGGCAGCAGAAATCCTGGCTAACAGCGAGGTGGCAGCAGGGGGAGAGTGCCTGCTCTGGGGGCGCTCGTCCTTCATCCAGAGCCCCCTTCCCTAGGTGGTGGGGGAGAGGCCGGAGCTAGCCAGAAGATGAACGCGGCGCGGCCCTCGGCCCCCTCTGCGCAGTCTGCGCTCCCTTTTGAAACACAACACGGGTGGCGGCAGGGGGGAGAGGACGCCCTATGGGCGGGCGGGGGGACGGGCACGGTGGCCACTGGGCTACGAAGACAAGCACTTGACTGCAAGCTCAGCCTGGCAGCAGCACCCCCTTTCCCTTTTCCAGAGAAGTCGCCCTAAAAGGGGAGCAAAGCCATCGCCAGACGGGCCCCCTTTCCTCGCTTCCGAGCACAGACACACCGTAAAAATACCCCTCTTCTCTGTCAGAGCTCCGGGCCCTGCGGGCAGGAGAAGCACAGAGGCGTCTCCCTTCATGTGTTTATTCGTTAAATTGAGTCTTGTGGCCAAAGTCAGAAACAAATCTTCAAAAGAAGCCTTTTGGCTCGTTCTGCACCAGCGGTTGAAAGGGTTCGTCTTTGGATTTTATTTAAAGCATGAATTTCTTCTGGACGAAACAAAATAAACCAATGGGCGAAGCGGCAAAACCCGCCCGCCCACCTGCCCTCGCCCTCACCCACACCCTATCTCAAAATGCCCTTGCCAAAGGAACACGGGTGCCCTGATGGTGGAGAGAGAAACGAAGGCTGGCACTTCCAAAGCGGAGCCTTTGCACAACGCGGAAAGGAGGCCAACAGAAGAGAGAATTAAGTGCACGAGGTTAACTGCCAGGAAGCCCCCAGCAAACACATTCTGAAAGGGATCCTCCGAACGCTTTGAGTTTTTTCCTTTGCTTTTTATAAAATAATTTCGCAGCCACCCTCTAAGAAATGAAGGCAGCGGCCGGTAAGCGGAAGCTTATTACAGGGTGGCCAAGGGACGGGGGAGGCGGAGATCCGACGGAGAAGCTGCGGCGCGCCAGGCCGGGCTCTCTCTGGCTAGCAATGGACGAGACAACATCGAATGAGAAGCCGTCAGCCGGACCGTATACAAAAGCTAAACATACACAAAAGGGGGGTTTCTTTTAAATCTACCGTACTGCTTCAGTTCATCTCCAACACAACAATCTACTCCACACCAAAAATGGTCATATCTATCATAAATACAGAAAGTCAGTTGTTTTAAAACTCCAAGTCCTTAACACTCTTTGCGTGTTGTTTTTCTGTTCTGAAAAGGGGAGTGCTGAACCGTTCCCCTTGAAATTGGCTTCAGCAGAAAAGATACCCCTAAAATCCCCAGAAAGCTAACTCAGTCCACATTGTTTGTCTCTTGAATACTTTCTGCCCATTTTTAAATTAACAGAAAAAATCCTTTGCTTGGAAAAAAATCAAAACCAAAAAAAGAAATTATATATATATTTATATAAAACAATGATTCTGAAAACCGAACAAAGTGTGAGCGATTGACCTGAGAATAAAAAGACGTTACATTTCTTTTTTTCCTTTTAGCAAGCAAGCCATTGGTATCTGAATGCTAAGATAGCAAGAAATTTAAAAGGGTCCCCAGGCGGTCTGCTTTCCC